CTAAAATATTTTATTAGGTTGAAATCTTGTATCTTTCCTCACTAACGCTAGAAATCCTCCTCATCGGTGCTTCGTGTTTCTTCCGATTCCCGAGTACGTACGTGCTTAATAAACTGTTTTAAATAAACTTTTATCCTTGGTTTGTTTTTGCAAGTGTGACTTATCTAGTTGGTGGTGACACCTTTTCTACTGACTTTCTATGAAAATTTGTTTTTTCATTTAATGTAATGCGGGTGGCTTGAATTTGATGGGCATAAATGGGGTTATGAGATTTTGTGATGCAAATTTGTGAGCAGATTCATTGTTTCGTGTTTATTACTGTGTCATTTGTTTTGATGTTTATTCTCACTTTGGATTAAGTATATTGGACTTTTGACGATGGTTGTTTGACATTTTTTTGGAATTTTCACTTTGTGTTGATTATCACATTTTATATTCAGCTTTCGTATGTGGACAAAGAGGATTGCAATTCCAAGAAACGATCGTACGAGATATGCATCGCATGATCTTACCTGTTGTCCTTCCTTGTATTGTCACTCCTGAACGTTATGTTGTCTATATCGTTGACAAATCAACGACTTGCTACCCCTTTCTTGGCTGATTGCGCCAAAGCAAAAGCGATAGAAATCCTTGCCTCAGGAATTGAAGGTGAAGAATACCTTTTATTAAAATTCGAACCTGGCACCGAAACTTCGGTTCTTAGAACAGACCTCCATGCCACCGCCCCCGACGATAGAATTGGATTTCTTTGGAAATGTGCCGTTGTAGCAATATAGGCTTAAAAAGCTGGTGATTAAAAATATGCATGATGTTCTCGTTTGTGAGCGACTTATCTCGGATCGAGAGATTACAACAGTTATCGCTTAATCCTAGGCATCAGTTTGCAGATATAACTTCTATAAATAGGTTGTTATTTTCTCGCTTGTTAAGCCGCAAGAAGTATGTTTATGTTCAAAACGTTAAAGATATAAAATTATGCTGATTTATATTAACGCAACTTAAGGCATTAACGCATTGAATTTGTTTCTTCTTTTAATCTTGTTTTAAACTTTTGTTTATCCTTTTAATTATAATTTCTGCATATTGGAGGTTGTTCCACTTCTCTTATACCTCAGTGCAACTCTAGGCATGTTGATGATAAATCACAGAGAAAATCGTTAAATTCTAGCGTATGTTTAAAATTATATATGTGAATTACGGCGAAAGACGATTTTAATGGTTCTTTTAGTAAATGTCTCATTCTTAAGTATTTACTTTGTGTTGAAAATATCGATGTTTTTTGTGGGGTAACTACATCATGTATAAGTTTCAGACAGCGTTATTTGCTGGATTTCTGGAATTTTCACCATTCAGATCATAAGACGTATTTTCTGCATTTTATATTATTACATGTTGTCATGTTTGCATAGCTATTCATTGTATTTGACAATTTATTTATGAACTCGTTTCATTTTTTAGAAAAATTTACATAGTTTTGCGACTTTCTCAGTTTTTCGATTCCTCGAATTTTGAATTGGCCAGATTTGCTAGACCTTGTTTGTGTCCTTAATCGAAATTCAAAACTTCATAAAATTTGTTCGAGGTGGAGGATTGATACAATAGAAATATTCAGTTGCTTTTCAACAGTCTGACTGCAAGGCTGTTGCGGTTGAATATGATTTGCTGAGGTGCTAACTTTTGTCGACATTGCGATTAGGCTCCTTCGGATCTAATTTATGAGTTTGTATATGCCGATGGGGTGTATGTTCCTAAACGACTCTGCTCTTTACAGCAGCGTCTGGTAGCCAAAATGGGGTGATCACTGTTAGCGAAGATGATCTAGCAGAACGTTCCTGAGAAAACGTTTTTTGCATTGTAAAAATGGCAGTTGTTTAAGTGTTCATAATGATGACAAATACCCTAGCTTAAGTAATATTTCAGGGTTTGCCAGATTGTTGTCGAATAAGCAGTTGGACTAGACATTCCCGTGGGGAACGGTATCCTGGCAATCGCGTCCGCTGTTGTTTGGTAGCCTGGTACAGTGTCAGTCACTGCGCATGGGCTAGATCACGATAAGTTAATATATGTGCCCGAATTAAACTATATTTTAAACCCGTTATCCCAACCTAGCATCGCATTTTCCGCGACCACAACTCAGGCAGCGTTGCTTGACTATTCTCAGTGTCAGGGATTTTTGTTAACGTGTGGATATATTCGTAAATTGTGTCAATTTGTATTTTTTTCACTTAATGATATTGCATGTTAAGCGTTTTTAAGATCTTCAGTCCCACGTATTTATAAAGGGACTTTCTCCCTTAAGACGGGAAACTGTATGTCTGAATGGTATCAGCATACTGTAGTTGAACCGCGGCTTTTACTATGTTCATCGTCGCACTGGACTCTGTAGCAAAGTATCCGTTTGTGAAGCATCCAAGGCAGAGTTGACTGCGAAGAGGGTAGCTCGAGCGGTAAAGCTTTGGACTCATAGTCTATCGATCATGAGTTTTAGCTCTGGTCGAGTGAGTCACTTACCTTTCATCCTTCCGAAGTAAGATAAAAACAAGTTCGTCAGAAGAGAACTGGAGACTCTGCTCTGTAGTGGCCACCAAGGCATTGTGGCCGAAGACGTAAGAACATGGGTCATTAGCTCGATAGCTGAAATGTACCAAATATGCCGTAGAGAGTAGAAGCGTAGATAATTTGTAATTATAACTGCATCCCAATAATTTTAGACCTTTTTTCTCAGATTTTTCGAAGGACATTAAAAGATGAATGTCTCTGTCTGTCGATCCAAATATCGTTGACACGTTAACCAACTGTATCAGGAGTTTCTGTCTGCATACATTCCGTTATGTTTCGCCGTGGCATCCAGTTAGATTCCGTTCCTTGTTCACGGCCCTTCTCAGCTGTAGAGGCTGAGCAGTGGATTATGTTTTAAGCGTGATTACGGCAAAACTTAGTGTTAATTCATCTAGAATCAAGGATACTTATTCAGTAACGAAGATCATTGTATCTGCAGTAAAATCCCGTAATTTATCGATTTTTTTGCAGGCCCAGACTTTCATGTAACTTTACATAACCCGACGTATTTTGAAGCCTTTAGTTTAAAGCGTACCCATCATCAGCAGCTTTTTTGATCTGTTGTTGAAAGAGAGCCCCTCCAAAAATTTGCCATATGCATTTTATCCATCCTGATCCAATAAATGTTTTTAACTCACCCTGCCGCCGACCTGTTCTTCCTAGATGCTGCTTACTGTCTTAACAGTTCTAGGTCCAGCATTAGTCCACCTACCGATTGCTGCCTTTTTATTCAGATAGTGACATCACAGATCGTGTTTCTGTTCTGACCGTTTTCTTTGTCTTATCTTTTTGTTATTCTCAAAGCGCATCTGTCGGCACTGTATTGGGTAGCCTACGGTTTATGAATAGCTTTCGCGCTTGGGGTCCTCTGTTTCACATCCACAGGGTAGCACTTCGAGCACACACCGATAGAAAACTTTTTAAACATAAAACGTTTTTCGGATAAGAACATTTTTAGTCTGTTAGAATGTCATATATGCCGTTTATTAGTATGTTGCAAGAGATCGCGGTTGTTGTGTGTTTGTTGGACGTTGTATTTGATTATTTGTCTCGTTTCTTCACAGCAAGTACTTGTAGACGGAGAAAATCATAATGATGAAGGAGGAAGAATCAAAAGCACTGATGAAGGCGGTGTTGTGGGTCAGCGACCGGCGCAACTACGTGTGCCCGCTAAAAACCATTCACTGGTACTTGGTTGATCCTTCGGTATTCATACTGCTGATCAGAGGAAACTGCTATGTGACGCCGGTGACCAGTGCGCTTCAGTTGCTGCCCACATCGATCAAGGTCGACGCTCAGTCGACGTCATGGCGCGATCTCTATAATCAGTGCCTGTCGACCCTAGGTTCCAAAGAGGTTGATCGTTTCTTGGACAAGTTACGATGTGTCCATGTAACCGGTGCGAGGGCAGACCAAAACGTATTAGCTACTTTTTGCAAGCGCAGTTTGTGTGCGTTTGAGTTCTACGACACCGTACTCTCAGATGACGATCAAACACTGGTCGTGGATCTGTTGAGCAACGGTAACGTTAAAGCTTTAGGGTTCGGGGTGATGGCCGGTGATCTGCTGAATAGGTTCTGCCAAGCAGGCCGTTTGAACGTGCGGGTGATGCGCTTCGCCGGACCGCAGCCTCTGAAGGTGTCGATCCTGAACTCGCTGAAGGTCGAAATGCCGTGCGTCGAGCTGCTCTCCTTGCAGGAGCTGACGTTCGACGAACGACCAATGTCACGCGTGTTTTTCCGTGGCATCGGTAGATTCTTCAAGAATCTGAAGTGTCTGCTGTTGGACTGGACCGTAGTGTCGCCAGCAGTCGAGTATTCGGAGTCGACGAAGCAGATTTTGGCTGGTCTGAAGGACGTCTACGTGGACAAGAAGCTGCAAGCGCTGGTGGTGCTCATCTACTGCCCGGACGACGCGTTGCACCAAGCTGCTGCCCAGATCACTGCCTTCTTCTCATCCGACAAGTCCTTGAAGTACGTGCGCCACTTCGACTTCGCCACCAGCACTGCTGCCCCCGCTAACGACAACTTCCGTCTCATTATAATTGGCAGTCCCCTGTCGCACTTTTCTGAGCGCCTGAAGAAGGTGATCGTCGATGACCGCTGCACCCAACCCGATTTGCGACACCTGTGTTACGTCGTCGACCAGGACCCGTACCTGGATCCCGATCTGAGTCTGGCGTTCGGCGGCTTCGACGAGGCAGAAGTGCGTGCCAAAATCGCCAATCCGTCATTCATGCTGCCACCTGTCGACATTCAGTGATTTATTCGATG